AAAAAAAGAAAGAAGAAAAGAAAGATTAACAAAAACTAAAAAACTAAAACAGAAGGTTGAATAAAACTAAAGAATAAAATCACTAAAAGACTTACCGTATTAGAGAAACACGTCAGAACAAATAGTTCCTAGTTAGACGTTCCTAGTAATATCCTTCGAATTTAAAAAACGTCCACTTCTGAAAATCCCCTTCTGAACGAAATAGTCCTCTTCTTTCACGATGGTCAAGTAGCACAAGCAAGGACAAGGTTGGAAACAACGTGCCAACCGAATTATCAGTTCTCTTTGTAGAATAATAAAAAGATAACGACGCTGATGATAATAATGATGATGATGATAAATCAAATAAGATAGATAATAACAATTTGTTCGTAATTAACAACGATGATGATGACGACGACAACAACAACAACAACAATATAGACGACAACGACAACGACGACGACGACGACGACGACGACGAAAATTGTAATTGTTTCAATGGGATCCTTAAAAGCATATCACTGTTCGCGAATGTTTAGGAGGTGGTAAGGTAAGGGTGGGAATGGGGTATACTGATCCTTTATTCTATACTTATTTAATAACAAATTAACATATTAAAATTTATACGTATATATACATATATTGTATATATACATATATATACACATATATATATATACAATCACGTAAGAAATAAAATGAAAATTGGTAACAAAAAAATGAAAGATAAATAGAACAAAAAAATAGCGTACAATTTAAATAAATTGAACGATGATGATACAAATGAATGAACGAATGAATGAATAAGTTTATAAGTAAGAGTAAGATGAAGAGAGAAAATGATAGGAGAGAAAGAGAGAGAGAGAGAAGAATAGAGAAAAGAGAGATCACCGGGGCGCGCGCGGGTTCACTCGTTGGGGGTGTCGCGGTGCGACTGTAGCACAATTGCAACCCTCTCACGATCTCGCGGCTTCCATCCCCCTACTACTACTATTCCTCCCTCCTCTAACTCTCTCTCAACCATCCTCCCCTCTCTTCGTCGCACGCGACTTCTCCCCACCATGATACTCTCCCACAACTTCTACCTTTCCCTCTCCCTTTTCTTCTTCTTCTTCTGTACCTGGTTTTACTATCTCTCAACTAGTTTCTATTTCTATCTGTCTCTTTCTATTTCTAGGATTTTCTCTCTAGTTCTCTCTATATATTGCATGAAGCATTTGGAACTAGCTAATTTGTTGTAAATTTGATGATCATTGGTGTTTTATTATTAATGTAATAGATAATGTAAATTGTTAGTATTATGTGTATATGAAAATTTATTATTATATATATACCTAATTTAATATAATTTAATATAATGTAATATAATGTAATATATATTTAATAATATAATGTAAATTATTAGTATTATATATATATGGAAATTTAATATTATATATATACCTAATTTAATATAATTTAATATAATATATATTTAATATACATTTTTAATTGAATTATATTTTAAATTATAATATTTTTAATTAAATTTTTAATATTAATTTTTCATATATATTTAAACCTAGCCAACGAAATAACATTGCATATACCTAACACCTAATCAATCAATTAATCATGAAATCAATTTTATTCGATGATATAAATATCAAAAGTTTTAAATGTTTCACCCTATATAAGTATATCGTAAACCCTTAGAATAGTAGGGGGTAAGTCTAGCCACTCCTACAGAGCTACGACGTGCCTTTTCGAAAAGCCCTCTCGTGGGTTCTGAGTGCACCTAAACTCAGGTTCTTCGTTCAGGTGGCCTTACACTGATTGCTAAGGATGGATGAGATGGGGATAAGATGGGGATGAGATGGTTGGATAGATGGACAAATGGATAGATGGATGGATGGATGGATGGATGGATGGATGGATGGATGGATAGATCATTGGTTGCAATGGATACGATGGATGAATAGATGGATGAATTGATGGGTGAATTGATTGAGAATCTTCTCTTGAAGAAGACCGCGCATCGTCCTGCAATCGTCCCGCGCACGCCCTCTCACTATTTTCCCCCACCCTCCTTTCATCCCACCCCTTTCTTACCCTCTCTCACTCTTCTAACGTTTCTAGAGTGGTATCTTGATACTAGAGAATAGTTCTTAGACGATCAAGTACTTGCTTTAAGAGAATTTCATGTTAAGGGATAAATATAATGTCAAAGGATAACTATAACATATTCTTCGTTGTATTTTTTATTCTTTCTTTTTTTATTAGGATTGTTAGGGTTTTATTTTGAATTATTTTATTTATTATTTTTTTTTTAATAACAAAGTTATAGATAGTAATTATAGAAATATAGAAAATAATATATACATAAAGTATATTGAAATATTGAAAATATTTATCTTATTAATATTAAACTTAGGTGTGTGTGTGTGTGTGTTTGATGGACTGCATATTGCAATATTGCAATTGTTTAAATTGCAATATCTTAATTATTTTTTAAATGCTATTAGAGTTGTACGATTAAACAAATTATGACAATAAAAAGTATAACGCTACTTGTACATTTAATTTTAATTATGAATAATTAATGGATACGTTTAATTATTAATATTATAAAAATACTATAGAAGAGTATATATGTACAAGTTTGTGTGTAGGAGTGTAAGATTTTGTCCATAATAATTTTCTTATTCCTATGAACGATGAAGTATCCCATAAAGATGTAACTTTCGTTGAACAGTTTTGACGAGCTCACGAATGTTCGTCGAATGTTGTGTACTTTCGTAATTTGTGCTTGGATTCCATTAATTTTCCACGAAAATTCCGAAAACATTTTGGGAAAGGGTTGGGGTGGAAGGGTAGGGGTGGTAAACTCACACGACGAAATAATTCCCACCAACGATGCAATATTGTGACGGAATCTCCTCGTCCCTACGATTTTCCAACAACGTTAACATGCCACCACCATCGGTATCGAAATAGAACAGAGTACTTGATAAATAAATAAATAAATAAATAAATAAATAAACAAACAAATGAATAAATAAAAAACATGAAAAAGAGAGAAAGAGAGAGGGAGATTAAATTGCAAACATCGATCTCAATTTTTTTACCCCTTTCGTTCATTCGCTTTTTTAATTTATCATAAAAAATATTTAGATTAAAGATACGAATAAAGTGAGAACAAACAAATATAATTTATGATCAATTTTTTTTCACCGATATGCAAATTCAACATAAACGCGTGTCCTGTAATCATTGATCATTTATTTAACAACAACAAAAAAAAACACAAAAATCTTTAAAACCTTTTCTAGTTACAAACGTTTCCTGCATTAAATAATATCAATTTAAATTGCAACGACATATAATGAAAAAAAAAAAGAATTCTATCTATTAAATTACACACACTCCTACGCGAATTCTAAATATTATTATAGAAAGAAAAATTATTAATTAAAAAAATAACAAATTTTACTTCGATTATGATTAAATGATGTAATAATTCCTCCTAACTATGGAATAGTGTTCTATAAAATACATTTAAATGTTATATAGTATGTTATAATAATATTAGGTATTTTAAATTTTAAATATTATTTAAAAACTAAGAAAAATCTAATATTAAAATAATTTTATTTTTAATTTTAAATTAGAATAAAAATGGCAATGAACTTTTGAGTTCCTAATGCCAATTAATAATAATAATATTATTAAAAAATTAAAATGCTAATACTAAAATATTTTTATTTAAAATTTTAAATATTATTATATTAAAAATTACAAAATTAATATTAAAATAATTGTATTTTTAATTTTAAATTATAATAAAAATGGCAATGAACTTTTGAGTTCCTAATGCCAACTAATAATAATAATATTATTATTAAAAAATTGAAATGCTAATATTAAAATATTTTTATTTTAAATTTTAAATATTATTATATATATATGTTAAAAATTACAAAATTAATAATAAAATAAAATTAATAAATAATAACAAATAGTATTCTATACAATGCTATTATAACACGTATCGTATTTGTTCTTGTTAAGAAAAAAAAATATAGAAAGAAAGAAAGAAAGGGGGTCGGTGTGGTCCTTGCAAAAGATAAAACGAAAAAAAACAAAAAACTAGGATCTCATCCAAAAAAAGAAAGCAAAAAAAGAAATATCCTTGCAAAGGGTGGGGTGTTTCTTTTCCTAGTTGTAACAGTCATGCGTGCATCCGCAAGCTTCGTTGGCCTCGTTTTTTTTTCTTTTACAGAAAAAAAAAAAATCTCGGGCGCGAATGCAAGAACGACGTAATTTTCCTCCTGCAAATGCTGAATTTTGACGAGAAATGGAAAATTCTTTCTTTAGTTTCATCTTTTCTTTTTCTTTTTTTTTCTTCTACCCTTCTTTCTCTCATTCGTTTTTACATACTACATAAATCTACACATACACACACACACACACACACATGACAAAAAAATATATATATATAATCTATACATGCAAGTAAAGGTGTCGTTTGCAACGAGGATTGGGGAAGGGTGAGGAGAGCTCTTTTGTTTTGAGAAGTTTTCAAAAGAAAGAAAAGAAATTTTACTACCCCTTTCTACCCCTACCAACCTTTCTTCTCTTCTACCACCCCTTCTTCTTTTTTTTTATTTCTTTTTTTTTTTACTTTTGCTGTCTCTTTTTCTGCGTCGTCACCAAGACATTCTTTTTCAAGGAAACGAAAGGGACGAAGGGAGGAGGTGAAGGTGGAGGTAAAGGACGAAAGGGGACGAATAGAAGGATAGAGAATAGCGCCCGTTCGATATTAGGAAATACCTCCTGCCAATTTCGGATTATATAAGAGGTTAACGTATTCTACAAAAACCTTAGGGGGCTCTTTCCTCCCTTTCCTTCCCTTAGTCGTGTCCTTCTCTTCTTTTTTTTTTCTTTTCTTTCCCTTTTCTCCAATCCATTTTGTATTAAGAATTTTGTTATACCTATTCATGCGAATTTTGTTAGTTCTTTTTTCTACAATATGTCCACTACCATTGCGTATATTAAATAAATCAAACCTGGATTATTATTCGTGAATTTTTTTTGTTATTAAAGAAAATAATAATAAAATGGAAATAAATATAATAATCTGATGAAAAATTTGTAAATACAAATGTGATTGAAATTTTCATGTATTAATTAATTTCATTCTTATATTAAAAGAAGATAATCATATTATAATAAATTATGACTAAACTTGTAATAAATATCTACGAATAAATAAATGTGAAATAAAAAAAAAAATATATATATATATATATATATATAATTACTATATATATTATTTTATTAATTTTATTAACCCAGATTTTAATTACTCAAAAATAAGTATATTAAGTATATA